TATTTTTGTTCACGACAAGGTCTGCTTCCCCCAACACCTGAAAAGTAGGACCAAAGGCAGAGCTCGAGGGCAAGCAGTGAGTTTGAGAAGCAAATCCATGGAGCAGGGGTGAGGGGTCAGTATTTTTAGGGGAAGAAGAAGGAAAAGGCAAGGGAACACAGGATGTGTTGTTTAGTGACCAGTGACCTTGGGGAGCCACACGAAATGCGTCAGCACAGGCTTCTATTGTGTTGGTTCAGGGAGCCCCACTGGGGTGCAATGCCCTACATTTGACACCTTAGCCCCTGATTCATCTGTGACCCGCGTCCGTCCGTGAAAACTCCAGGACTGGAAGCGGGCGTTGCCTGAGGGCAGCCCAAATTCAGCTGTGTATTTATCCCTTACTACAGCACCTTTCACTTTTCCTCCGCTTTTTGAACAAGTTGCTCTATATTTTCCTTTTGCAGTGGGCCCCACAATTCTGTTAGCCTGTCCTGCCTATAACAACTCCCAAGGTCATTTGATGATAGGGAAAGTGGCATTTTATTTGGAGGAGAAGGGTGTGTGTGTGTGTGTGTGTGTGTGTGTGTGTGTGTGTGTGTGTGTGTGTGTGTGTGTGTGTGTGTGTGTGTGTGTGGTGTTACATCCTGGGTGTGCTATGTAGAAACTGGTGAGGATGGACAGCCAGTGTTGGGGCACAGATGTGCTATTACTGCCCCCTTGTGTCCAATTCAGTGCACAGCACAGCGCTCCCCGGAGGAGATTGGCCGGCAGGGCCCTTGAGGCGGCTTCCAAGCGCGCTACACTGGGGCACTCCAGTCAGCCAAGGAGGCCGCTGTCGGTACCCACCATTTCAGACCCAGGATGGAAAATGTGTGGGTGCGGGAATGGTGTTCCTGTGTCTTTCTGCCTCCACATGCTCTTTCCCTTCGGTCCCATTTTTTTGTGAGACTAAATGTGAAACAAATTATAGAGAAATTGAAAACTTTTTTAGATATAAAAAATAACCAGTAATTTTGTCATTTATCTATTACACTTAGTATAATTTCCTTCTTAATCTTTTATCTATTTCTCTACTAACCTATGATTATATCTGTATCTGTAAACACACACAGCACAATTTGGACCCCATCAGATATTTTAAACTAGAATTGGAACATGTTATTTTTTAATTCATTTGACTTACTCTTGGACTTTTAAGTCATTTGTTTATATCAACATGATAGACATCTAAATTTATTTAGAGTTTTTCATCTCATTGGAAGATATTCCTAATATTGGTACAATTGGATCACTAGACAAAATCTTCTTTAAAACTTGTCAAATTTATGATTTTAGAATATAAGGTGCTTTCAATGAAATACTACTGAACAAACAAAAGAGATAAACTCCGGTCATTTGTGGCAACAAGGAGGGAGTGAGAAGGGTTTATGTTAAGCAAGATAAGCCAGAAGGAGAAAGATAAATACTGTATGGTATCACTTAAATGCGGAGTCTAGAGAAACAAACAAGGGTCAAAGATAAACTTTAAAACCAACCTTTGAAAGCTGACCATAGATCTGAGGCATAGCGAGAGGGACGAAAGTGAAGGTGGGGTGAGAAAGCACAGTGGACTATGGTGGCGGAGCATGGTTGTTTCAGTGGTGGCAGCGCTGTGGTGACTACACTTGAGGGGAGAAATCCTAGGCTGTCAAAACACTGGAGACAGGCCCTCCCTGGTGGTGCAGCAGGTTAGAGCACAATACTGAGAAGCTAAAGCCACTTCAGGATGAGTTCGATCCCTGCCCAGGAGATGACCCACATGGCATGGCAGACCTCTCCTGACTCGCCGCTGCTCCCTTCAGCAGTGTACTTCGTAAGTCGGCCTGTTCTGCTTCCCACTCTGTCTCTGGTGAATCCTCCTGCACCTCTGACCTGTACCCCAGTTCTGTGTGCATAAGTAAATAAATCTTTAAAACACACACACTAGAGGACATAGAACAATGACACTTCAATAACATTTTTTTTTTAAAGAGATTTATTTATTTGTGCATACAGAACTGTGATACAGGTCAGAGATGCAGGGGCTGTGAGAGGATTCACCAAAGACAGAGTGGGGAGCAGAACAGGCAGATCGATGAAGGACACTGCTGAGGGGAGCAGTGGACTGGTCAGGAGAGGTCTGCCGCGCCATGTGGTCACCTCCGGGGCAGGCAGGGATCAAACTCATGTGGAAGTGGCTTTAGCTTCTCAGATTGTGCTCTAACCTGCTGCACCACCAGGGAGGGCCAACTTTTTTTATTTTTTTCAAAAAAAAATATTGTGGTTTAAAATCTGGTAAGCAAGACTATTTTTCTTTTTCAAAAATGTCAATGCTTTCTATTTTCTTCCCATCCCACTTATTCTTTTATATATATTTAGCATTGCTTTCTTAAGAAAACTCCACTCAGATATTGACTGAATTGGCCCAAACTCAGTACATTAACCATTTGAGGCTTTTTATCTTATTTTTTTTTAAAGATTTATTTATTTATTCATACAGAACTGGGGTATAGGCCAGAGATGCAGAGGGTGAGAGGCTTCACCAGAGACAGAGTGGGGAGCAGAACAGGCAGATCAATGAAGTACACTGCTGAGGGGAGCAGCGGCGGGTCAGGAGAGGTCTGCTGCGCCATGTGGATCTCCTCGGGGCAGGCGGGGATCGAACTCATGGGGAAGTGGCTTAAGCTTCTTAGTGCTGTGCTTTAAACCGCTGCGCCACCAGGGAGGGCCTTATCTTATTTTTTATAACAGTTTATTTTTACATCTTTTACATTTTTTTTTCCATCTCAATTGTAATCCCCGCGGGTTTCCCATCATCAAGTCACCTGTGTGCCATCACCATAGTCCCATGCACTTCCTTCCTCCCCCACCCCCCCACACCCCGTATTTGATCCCATTCCCTACTCCACCCCCGCAAAATGTCTCTGGTATGTGGTTGTTCATTATGTTTGTTATTTTCTTGCCTGGTCCATTATACTCCTGCTATGAGTGGAACCATCTGGTATTTTTCTTTCTCTTTCTGGCTTATCTTACTAAGCATGATCTTTTCCAGCTCCTTTCAAGTTGCTGTGAAAGACATGTGTTTATCTTTTGCTGAGTAATATTCCATTGTATATATGTACCACATCTTTTTTATCCAGTCATTTACTTTTGGGCATTTGGGCTGCTTCCATGTTTTTCCAATTGTAAATAAAGTGATGCTTTTTATCTTATTAAGATTTTTTTAAATCTCTTATTAAGAGATTTATTTATGCATACAAGAACTGGGGTGTAGGCCAGAGGTGCAGGGTGTGAGAGGATTCACTAGAGACTGTGGGGAGCAGAATAGGCTGAAAAACACTGCTGAGGGGAGCAACAGTAGAAACAGAAGAGGTCTGCTGAACCATGTGTATCAGCCCCCTTGGCCGGGCATTGAATTCAGGCAACAGCAGTGATAGCACTGAGACTTAAGCCCTCCACCACTAGAGAGGCCCCATTTGATACCTTTTATAAGTAAGGATTCCATGACAACAGTCTGGCCTTTTCCATGAAGGTTCACTTCTCCAGAGGACAGTTGGGGGTATTAAGGGCATGAGCCTTGGCCAAGTACCAGCTCCTGAGCTTGGCACCTAACTTCTCTCTGCATCAATTTCATTATCATATAATCACTCTTTGTATTAAACCCAGAATAAATGTAGCATATAAAATGGTGTCTCACAGTCAAATCTTGAAACATTTAACTCTTAAGTTATACTCTATCCATCCAAGAGTTTCCTTTTGAGTCCCCAAAGACTATAAGGAAAAAGCAAAGACAATATTAAAAACAATGTGTATCTCCACCTCTATCTAATCTTTAATCCTCAACTGAACATAAGTATAGGTCAGGGATTTTCTTCTATTATTCTACTTCTCACACACATACATAATAAATACAATACCTATTGGTTGAACGAATACATGAAAGGATGGCATGATAGCACACCTACCTGGGATCTCCTCACTTCATCCATCAACACAGTCTAAGATATAGGCCTTACCAAATTACTGTATATTCCTAGATATTCTTTTACCAGGATGGATGATGGCACTTGTCTGTAAACATTTATACTCAGAGTAAACATTTATACTCAAATTCCTTATAAATGCAGTCAGGAAAGGACCCATGCATGGGTAAAAAGCAAACTACATTACCCATCATTCTTTGTTCTCCCACTGTTTTCCTTTCTGATGGAACCTAGCAGGTGGACCTGCAGAGGTTATTAGGCTAGTGTAGAACGATAAATAGGAGAAACCTAGTGGTTCCAACAGAAAGCCACTCTGTCCACCCATTTCTTCTTGTGTTGTTTCTGAATAAACCTTTTGTTGCCTTTAATGACTGATTGCTTTTTTGGAGGTCAAAGTGTCTTACATCCACACAAAGGAAAGCAGCCTCTCAGAGGATTCATTCAAAGGACATCTGTTATGATGACCTCAAAATTCTTTGTACTACAGACTGAAAATAATTTATTGGCAATACTCCTCTCAGCTAAAAGTGTTTTAAGCACTTTTCACCTGAAGCTCTAAAATAGTAATAATATACATTTCAAATAAGTAAAACCCTAGACATAAATATAGGAACCATCTTTAGCTTCGCCACCATCAATATCATCCTTATCACCATTACAGGTGACAGAGGAGGAGCTGGCAAAATCTCTCTCCCAAATGTCTGGCATATACGACCCTAAACTGGAAGATAAAGGAGGAACAGACTGAGCGACACGGGTAGGGGATTGGGGGAAAGAGAAATTGGTGCTATGAAGAGATCAGGTCAGTGTAGCAGTAAAGGAAGTAACGTGGAAGGAACACAGTAAGCCAGTTAGCACACCAAGTGATGCCTGCCCAGATTTTTGATTTGTTCAAATTCCTTAAAACACCGCGAGAACACAAGCCCAATCGCAAACCGCTTACGTAGCTAAGACCCACCCCCGCCCCGCCCCTGAAGCCCAGGCACCGCCCCCCACGTCCTTCCTGTTCACCGCAGTGTTAATAAAGTTGCCGGGTTTGACATTTGCCGCGGACAACATGGCGGCCTCCATGCTGGGCTCTCTGCTACGGACAGTTCGGCAGGTAAGGCCCTTGCCCTACTCGCTACAAGTCTTCTTCACTACGCCTCTGCACAGGCTAGTGGGGGACCGGTCCTAGGTGCGCTCCCTCCTTCTGCCCACTTCCCTCGTCTGGCTGGTTTCTGGAAAGGTCAATTTCGTATTCCTAAATTTCTAACTGACTGGCTCCAATCCTGAAAGATCGGCTTCGACTTGAGTGTAGGTCGAAAGAACAAGGGTGTCGAAGGTTTGAGGCTCCAGGGCCATAGACGTTAGGAAATGAGACGTTAGGAAATGAGCGTAGGAAACTAAAACGAACTGACAGGCAGGAGGAAAACCTTGGTTGCTCTAGAAGCAAGCGACGACTGAATTTCAGTGAACAGAGAGTGGTCGACTGCGTTCAAAGTTCATAGGTCTGTTGAAAGAAGCGCCGAGAGTTAGCTGTTAAGTTTAGCACCACGGAGGTTTTTAGGACCGTGATCGTTGCATTTGGCGTTGTAGAGGCGAAAGCGTGTGGACCGAATGGGAGGAAGCATTGTATAGACAAGTCTTAGAAGATGTTTCGCTGCAACGGGGAGCCAAAGAATGGATCAGTAGCTGGTAGGGGAAGTGGGCTGAGAGTAATTTGTGTTTTTGTTTTGTTTTGTTTTAAATAGCAGAAATAACACTGGATCTTTGTGTCAGAGGGAAAGATCCAGTGGAGTGAGAAAACATGTTGATGTAGGAGGAGGAAGAATTGCTGGAACTGTAACCCTGTGTAGGCAAGGGGTCACGGGTATTGTTTTTAACGTTCGCTCTTAGGAACATTGATAATTCTTCTGTGTAGCATTGATGTCCAGTAGAAATAGGGCCAGTCACATTGTTTTATGACTTTAATATTTTGACAATATAGGATTTCTCCCCTTTGGTGTGGTGATTGTAGCTCTCCCGCTATCATAGCACCCACAGTTCACCAAAGTCTGTTGTTCTTATCCTCTCCATCTCCCTTCTTGGATGCCCAAATCTATGATTAGCTTTCAAGGATTGGCTTTAGACTTTGTCTTTGACCCTTTGTTTGATTTTTCTATATTCCATTTATAAGTGCAGTATTCGCTATTTATCTTTCTGCTGCTTTATTTTGCTTAGCAAACACTCTTCCAGTTCCATCCATGTTGCCAAAAATAAGATTATGTTTTTTTGATTGCTAAATAGTATTCCATTGTGTTTAGACACCACATCTTCTTCATCCACTCATTTGCTCTTGGACATTCGGTTTGTTTCCATAACTTGGCTATTGTAAATAATGTTGCAATGAATATAGGAGTGCAAGTTTCCTTTCAATGTTGTGTGTGTGTGTGTGTGTGTGTGTTTTGAGGGGGTAGATACCTGGGAGTGGAATTGCTAGATTAAACTGCAGATCTATTTTTGGGCTTTTAATGAATCTCCACACGTTCTCCATAGGGGCTGAACCAGTCTACAATCCCACCATCAGTGGAATGTTCCTTCACACACTCACCAATACTTGTTTCTGTCTTTCAAAATATGGGCCATTCTCACATGTGTGAGATGGTATCTCACTGTTGTTTGAACTTGTTTTTCCCTGTTGATAAGTGATGATGAACATGTTTTCATGTGCCTTCTAACTAACTGTATGTCTTTGGAGAAGTGCCAGTTTAACTGCTGTCCATTTTTAAATTAGGTTGTTTTCTTTTTGTTAAGTTGTATGAGCTCTTTGTAGATCTTCTGTATCAGTCTCTTGTCAGATGTATGGTATACAAATATTTTCTTCCATTCTGTGGGGTTTCATTTCATTCTGGTCACTGTCTTTCACTGTACAGAACTTCTCAGGTCATTGTAGTTCAGTTTATATTCTCCTTTCCTTGTTGCCGAGAATGGGTACACAAAGATATTTCTAAAGTTTATGTAGTGTTTTCTCTGTGTATTTTATTGTCTTGCATCTTAAATCCATGTATTTTATGCATTTGAAGTTGATTTTTATATATGCTGTGAGATGTTGTTCTAGTTTCACTTTTTCACTTGTAGCAGTCCAATTTTCCCAGCACCTTTATTGAAAAGGCTTTCCTTATTCTGGTATATATTCTTCACTCCTTTAACCTAGGTTAGTTGTTCCTCTACTTGTTGTTTTATTTCTGGGCTCTCAACTCTACTCCATTGGTCTGAGTGTTTTTGTTCCAGTACCACGCTATTTTTAACTTAAAAATATTCTAGTAAGGGCCCTCCCTGGTGACACAGCTGGTTAAGGCAGCACATGTTTCCAGGGTCAGGGAGCTGACCCACATGGCATGACAGACAGACTTCTGCTGTCCTTCCCACTGCTCCCATCAGTAGTGTACTTCAGTCAATCTGCCTGTTCTACTCCCTACGCTGTCTCTGGTGAATCCTCTCACCCCCACACTTCTGGCCTATACCCCAGCTCTTGTATGCATAAATAAATAAATCTTAAAAAAAAAATGCTAGTATCCACATAAAAAAAATAAAAGGAAATAAAATTAATTTTCATAAAATATTTTAGTGGGGGGTCTCCCTGGTGGCCTTGGGGTCAAGAATCAGTGCTATCTCAGCGCTGTCACTGCCAAGCCCACCATGGCACATGGCAGCAGCCTGAGTTTGATCCCCAGCCAGGGAGTTGACCCACATGGTGCAGCAGACCTCACCCTTCTTACCTGCTGCTCCCTTCGGCAGTGTATTTCAGCCAGTCTGCCCTCTGCTCCCCACTCTGTCTCTGGTGAATCCTCACACACACACACACACACACACACACACACACACAC